TTCATGTCCATGTCCCAATATTTTGCTGTTTTTATCTTCTAATATCTCTACAATGACCATGATTTTGACAACAAGAGAGGGAGATAAGTCATGTTTAAAAACAGACAAGGCTTGGTGGCACATGCCTTTAATCCCAGCACTGGGGAGGCAGAAGTAGGCGGATCTCTGTGAGTTCAAGGCCAGCCTGGTCTACATAGTTTGTTCCAGACCAGCTGGGTCTACAGGGAGACCCTGTCTCAAAAAAGACCAAAAACAACAACAACAATAATAATAATACACAAACCTGCCAGGCATGGTGGCGCACACAGTTGATCCCAGCAAAGGCAGAGGCAGGTGGAGCTCTGTGAGATCGAGGACAGCCTGGTCTACGTAGTGAGTTTCAGGCCAGCTAGGACTATAGCTTCTCAAACAAAAAAAAAAAAAAAAAACCTTGAAAAAAAATAATTATAAAGCAGTAAATAAATACCTAATAAAAAAAACTTACAAATAAGAGTGTAGCTACACTTTTCATAAACTGAAAGCGTGTAAGCACAGGCGCCTTGCACTCCTTGAGAGGCTTATGTGACGCTAACCAAACTCTCTTCAGAAATCCTAATTCAATAAGGAAGAAACAAAGAGAAAACCCCATCTGACAGCCAACTCCAAATACAAGAGAAGCCTGGAAATCCTCCGGCTAACACTGGTTCAATAGAACAACATGGAGACTGGAGTTCTGTGCCTCTGCCAGGACAAACTCGCTCAAACTAGACCCAGGGATGGCTTTTTAAATAGAATGCTCATGCTAAAGAATTGAAAGAGTGACAAAATGCTCTGAGCAGCAGATATGTATACGCGCATGTGAAGGCTGCACCCCAGGCCCCATAAACATGTAAATGCTTTCCTGACTATGGGGTCCTAGTGACTTCAGCCTGATCAGAATATCTTGATTAAGCCAAACAATCAATATGCCACTTGTCAAATATAGTTAATGAAGCATCTCTGCTGTGTGACCATCACAGGACTACAAAGCTCCTAAAACTGATGACAAGCCTGTGCGGGGGCTGTGAGGACACTCTGCCATCCTGCAAGCTGCTGTCAGCAGATCACAGAGGCGTTTCCATGTGATCCTGTCCCCTGTGGGGTGAACAGCAGACACCGTTGTCAAGACCGTAGAGAGACGAGGCCTCTGGAACACCTTGTTCTAACTCAGCCACTGCAAGACAAAAAGGCACTGTGCCAACCCAGGGTTTGCTAACCGTGTATCTGACAACCAACTTGTACCTAGAAAATAAAAAGAACTGTTACAACTCAATAATTAAAAGGCAGGTGAGAACAGACCTGCTCCCAAAGGAAATAAACCAATGACTAGTACGGATTGAAAAGATGCTCATTAGGAAAACCAAAAAATCTGTGTCAAAAACCACAGGGAGTAGAGCCAGGCGTGATGGCGCACACCTTTGATCCCAGCACTCAGGAGGCAGAGGCAGGCGGATCTCTGTGAGTTCAAGGCCAGCCTGGTCTACATAGTGAGTTCCAGACTAGCTGGGGCTACAGGGCGACCCTGTCTCAAAAAGACCAAAAAAAAAAAACCCACAGGGAGGTACCACATCCATCAGGAGTCAGAGGTGTCTGCTGTTCTGGTCGATGTAGAGAAGCAAACTCACATCACTGGTCAGACTGCCCAGTGGTACAGCTACTTTGAAGAATGATCTAGCAGTTTCTCAAGAAGGTAGGCACTGAGTTTCTGCCTGACCCAGCAATTCCACTTACCAGATACATACACACACACAAAACCTTGCACATGAGAGCTCACAGCTCCATTATTCATAATAACCACAGAGTCGATCGAGTCCTGCAAGAGTCCATCAGCTGACAGACTGGGAAGGAAAAATATGGCCTGTCAACAGAATTGAGCAACTGCAATGGCTAATTCTCGTTGTTGACTTGACACACCCAAGAGGAGGGCACCTCAAAGGAGGAGTTTCTTCCACCAAACTGGCCTGTAAGCATGTCTGTGGGCCATTTTATTTAGTGCCGGTTGACGTGGGAGGGGCCAGCAGGCTGTGGACAGTGCCATTCCTAGGCAAGTGGACCTGTGCTGTGTCAGAAAGGCAGCTGAGCCAGCCAGGGAAGCCAGGGAACACTTAGTCCATGGTCTCTGCTTCGGTTTCTGCCTGGATTTCCTGCCTGAATTCCCTCAAAGATGGACTGTGCCTTGGAAGTGCAGGATGAAATAAACCTTTTCCTCCCCAAGTCGTTTTTGGTGAATGTTTTATCACAGCAACAGAAAACAAAATAGGACTGTAACTTTCTGATACCTGCTATAAGGATGAGCCTTAAAAACATTAAGTTAAAGAAGCCAGTCTCCAAAGACCACACTATGAAATGTGAAATGGGCACAGCAGGAGCCTGGGAGGATGGCAGTGAGGGCACTGTGCAACTGCAGAGGCCAGGGAGAGGGGGTAGGGCGCAGGAGCTTCCTGTGGAGGACATGAGTCATGCCCTACAGTGATCTGCTGCTGGGTACACTCCAGCTTCCCTCACACTAAAAGCCATAATTTTCAGTGAGAAGACTGTTTTGAAGCTGCTTTAAAAAATTAAGAAGTCCCCAGAACAGTACCTTACGTAGGTGCAAATTGCCAGTTTTTATTACTGGAAGAAAAAAACGCCTCTCAACACCAATGTGGGAAAGTGAGTACTAGTGGGGTGAAATTAGCAGAGACGGTTTTGCTTCCGTGGAGCCCTTGTTGGATGCACATAAAATGTTCAGAAACAAGAAAAAAAGAGTTTGAGAAAAGGATTGCTCCATTTAAAGGGCAGATTGACAACTCACAAGTCTGTCTGCCACAAGGGATGGAGGACGTCCTTCTGTTCTTAATTAGCAACGAAACAAGCACCAGAGTCCAGCAGGTACCCAGAGCCCTCTAGCTTTCTTCCTGAGTTGGGGGCTTCAGGGAAAATGGGAGGGAGGCTGAAACCACTGTCTACACACACAGTAGCCTTGTAAAACTCAAACACATGTGCAGTGGCCTACATCCAGAATAACTCTGTACAAGTGAGTTGTCTGCAGGGCTGGACAAGTGTCACCTCTGAGAGGGTCTGCCGCTCAGGCTTACTGGCTTCACAGGACCAGGCCCCACCACTGCCACACAGTGCACTAGCTGGTCAGCTGCCAGAGTTTAAACAGCGGAGGACAGCCAAAGTAAAAGATGGCCAGGCTCTCAGCTGGGCCGAGTAAGGCAGGGGTTGGTGTGGGGAGCTCAGAGTCGAGTGGAACCCAGCTCACACTGTGTCACGTAGGGCAGCTGGGAAGACACCCTCCAACACGCTGATTGACACGTGCATCCTCCAGTTTCCCCCACCACTGACTCTGACCCCACATCGGTGCCCCACCCCACAGACTCGCTCCAGCCCACATCCCCCCAGCGCTACAACCTCAAATGCAGACTTGTTCTCCAAGTCACCACGGATTGAGGAAAACATTCTTTCCTTACGGCAGCAAAAGCTGACTTTGGAAGCAGTTTTATGGCACTCTTGTCTACTTCTCCTGTGAGAGCGACTGACAAAACGAAATTCAGTACTTTATATCAGGCTTAACTGGCCAGTCTGGGCTCAATAACATCTATTTGTCAAATATCAAAGCATCCAACTTCAATTTGATTCTTTGGTTTTCCTTTTTGTGAGGTGGGTTGGGTTTTATTTTTTAGTTTTTTAAATTTATTTATTTTATGTGTACAATGTTTTGCCTGCATGTATGTAAGTGCATTCATGTTGTATAATGCCCACAGAGGTCAAAAGAGGGGCACCAGAGCCCCTGAAACTGGGGTTACAGATGGTATTTAGCCACCATGTGGGTGTTGGGAACTGAACCCCAGTCCTTTGGAAGAAGAGCCATCGCTCCAACCCAGGGTTTTGCTTTTGATATGGGGTCTTGCTATATAGCCAAAGCTGGCCTCGAGCTTGAGATCCTCTTGTCTCAGCCTCCAGAGCGAGACTGAGTTTGCAGGTATGTGCCTGCACCACACCTGGACTGCCCATCATTGTGCAGAGAGACCCCACTGGCTCCTGTCACAGGAAGCTCTGGCCTGGGTTTTTTTCTTCAGCAACTCCGGTCTCCAGAAAGCAAAAGGTGCGTTATACTGTCCCCAGACTGCACCGAGACACTTAGCTGGCAGCACAGTGAAAAGCCTGGAATCAAAAAGTAAACATGCAGAGCTGAGCCCACTCCACTTTAACTCAAGACACATGAGATGAGGGCAGCTGTCTTGGGTGCGAAGCCTGAGGAAATAGGACTGCCCGACTTGCATTCTTTAAAGAAAGGAGCCTGCCATTGCTCCATGATTTACTCCATCATTGTAATTAAGCCAGAAAGTAACTCATTGTGAAGTAACAAAGCATTATAACAAAATAGGGAGTTTTGGATTACAGAAAGTTAAGAAGGGGGAAAAATGCAAAATTTCTTTCCCTGTTAAGAATATACGTGCAGCCAGGCATGGTGGCTCACTTTCAGGAGACTGAGGCAGGAGGATTGCCATGAATTCAAGGCCAGCCAGGACTACAGAGCAAAACCCGTCTTCTCAAAATTAATAACAGTAATAAAATAGAAATAAATAAGTAATAGTGATAAAAGAATTGCAAAATGCAATAGGAAATCCAAATCACTGCAGAAAGGAGCACGGGCCACAGAATCAGAGCAGTCATTACCATGAAGGAATTCAAAAATCAACAGCACACGCATGCTCAGTGCACTCAGAGAATTCAAGGCACGATTCTCCAGTCGTTCACTTCACCATGCTAGGGGGAGATTGTTCCTTTTCACAGACAACATAAAGCGATAGGGTGCCCCATCAAACAAGGACCAAACAGCAATCAGGTATTTAACAGTTCTGATTTAAATTACTTAAATCAGAATGTTCTGACGATCACAATCCAGAAATTTGAACCATTCATTCACACCACCATGAAACAAGCACTTAAAACATAATAATAACCAAAAGAAACTAAGCATGTAGATCATGTACCTGGGTCAATGAGAACTTCCTGTGCCCCTGGAAGAAAGAACAGATTATGGTCTTTTATTTGGAAAATAAAGCTACTTTTAAACACATTTCACAGTTCTCATACCCTTGAAAAATCTGAGACACATGTCTAATCATTAAGCAATTCTGGGTAACAGGGTGGCAGACACAGTCCTCCTTTGTGTCAGTGGGGTAAACAGAAATCTGTTATTAATCGTACTGTAGACAAACAGGAAAGTGCCCCAAACCTCGTCCCTTCCTGCTTTCTAAGCTCAGGCTCCTCGCTCTCCTTAAACAAGTGTAAGAATCCCAGCTTTCCACCAATTAGCCAAGTGATAAAGGCATCATTTTGCAAATATATGTTAGCACTCTGGAAGAGGGGTGAAGGCATCGGAAGTAAACTCACTCTCTCTCTCTCTCTCTCTCTCTCTCTCTCTCTCTCTCTCTCTCTCTCAGGATTTCTGAAGTTTGCAGGTAGCTTTGGCTGAGTCTGCAGCTCAGCTGATAGAGTGTTTGCCTAATACAAATCCTGGGTTCAAACCCCAGCACCGCATAAACTGAGCATGGTGGTGCATGCCTATAATCCCAGCACTTGGAAGACAGGAAGATCGAGAGTTCAAGATCATCCTTGGCTACATAGTGAATTTGAGGGCAGCCTGAGATAGGGAGGGAAGGAGGGATAGACAGACGGACGGATGGACACAGGGAGGTACAACAAGGCTGGGTGTAGTACCCTGTGCCTTTAATCCCAGCACTCAGGAGGAAGAGACTGGTGGATCTCTAGGAGTTCAAAACTAGACTGGTCTACATGGTAAATTCTAGACTAGCCAGGGCTACATGGTGAGACTCTGCCTCAAAAAATAAAAAACAAATTTTGTTTTAATGTGTACTGGGTGTATTGCCTGCATATAGGTAAGTGCACCCGTGTTGTGCAGTGCCCACGGAGGTCAGAAGAGGCTGTTGGATCCCCTGGGACTGGAGTTATGGACAGTTGTTAGCTGCCATGTGGGTGCTGGGATTCGAACCCGGGTCTTCTGCAAGAACCACCAGTGTTCTTAACTGCTGAGCCATCTCTCCACCCCACAAAAGTTTTTAAAGAGGAGAAGGAGAAGCGGGGTGGGGGGGAGGCTTTGTAGTGAGTTTAAACAGAGAACAATTCGCTTTTTCACTTTACTATTCATTCTCCAGAAGCTGGGAAGCCCTCCTTACCTGATGCACTATACAGATGTCAGTGTGGGCCAAGGAGTCCTCTCTGCAGAATGGAACCCCCCCCACCCCCGCCAACAGCAAAGCACACCCCACAGGCTCCTGGGCACAAGACTCACACTGCCTTGGTTTGCATCTCTGTTGTGATAAACACCATGGCCAAAAAAACTTGGGGAGGAAAGAGTTTATTTCATCTTAAAACTCCCAGGTCACAGGGAAGTCAGGGCAGGAGCTGAAGCTGAGACCGTGGAGGAACGCTGCTTTCTGGCTTGTTCCCTGACTGTGTTCGGCTACTTTTCTTCTACAGCCCAGGCCCACCTGCCCAGGGATGGCACCGCCCACAGTGGGCTGGGTTCTCCCACATTAACAATTAAGAAAATCACCAGGCAGGCATTGTGGCACACTTGGGAGGCAGAGGCAGGTGGATCTCTGTGAGTTCAAGGCCAACCTGGTCTATAGGGAGTTCCAGGATACTTAGAGCTACAGGGAGACCCTGTCTCAAAAAAAGAAAATTAAGAAAATGGCACAGATGTGCCCACAAACCAGTCTAGCAGAAGAACTTCCTCAGCTGAGGGTCCCTCTTCCCAGGTGACTCTAGTTTGTGCCAATTTGACAAAAACAACCAGTATACATGCCTGTCATCAGCTATTACCATTTTAAACATTTTTATAGGATTCAAAAAGTAGGTCCACATAGCATGTTATTACTAAAACACAGCATTTGTTCAAGTGTCTATAAAAAGAGCAAGCCCATAGTCTTGGTGCTATTTAAGAGCTATGTTACGCACAACCATCTCTACTCGTGTGCGTGCGTGCGTGCGTGTGTCTGTCTCCGCATGCACCCACGCACCCAAGGAGGCTGGAGGCAACCTTGGGCACCATCCCTCAAGGCTACTATTCTACCTTGCTTTGCTTCCTTTTTTGACATAGAGTTTGTCAATGGCCTGGGACTGGCCCAGGCATTCCCTTGTCTCTGCCTCCCCAGCGAGGCCATCACAGGTGCACACCACCATGCCCACCTTTTTTTTAAATGGGTTCTGGGGATCAAACTCAGGTCCTCAAGCTTGAGTGGCAAGTACTTTGCTAACAGCCATTTCCCTGGTCCCTTTCTCCTTATTTGTATTTTTTGTTGTTAATGTTGGTTATGTGTGTGATATGTGTGCATGCTTTGTGTGTACATATGCATGCACGTATGTGTGGAGGTCAGAGGTCAACATCGGGTGTCTTTCTCATCATTCTCCACCTATCTTTTGAGACAGTGACTCTAACTGAACCTGGAGCTCACAAATTCTGCTGCAACGACTGACCAGCAAATTGCAGGGATCCTTCTGTCTACATACATACACACACACACCAGCACTGCACCTCGCTTTGATATGAGAGCTGTGGACCTGAACTTGGGTCCTTGTGCTTGCCCACAAGCACTTTGTCACTAGCCCTACTGTGGAGTTTTTGAGACAGGATCTTGCTATATGGTCCAGGCTGGCCTTTAACTTCTGATTCTCATGCCTCAGCCTCACAAGTACTAGATTTACAGGCATGTACCACCATGCCTGGCTTAAATGGTTTACAATAATTGTTTTTGCAGTCCTGGGTGTTGGACGCTGAGCTGAGGTCCTGTGCATGCTAGGGAAGCATCAACCACACAGCCATATCCTCAGCCCTATTTTTTTTTTTTTTTTTTTTTTTTTTTTTTTTTTTGTCTTTTTGAGACAGGGTCTCCCTGTAGCTCCAGCTGTCCTGGAACTCACTATGTAGACCAGGCTGGCCTCTAACTCACAAAGATCTGCCTGCCTATGCCTCCCAAGTGCTGGGATTAAAGACGTGTGCCACCATGCCCAGCCCTTAGCCCTATTTTTTTAAATAACATTTCATTGATTCTTTGAGAATTTCCTAGAATGCATCTTGATCATGTTCGGATCCCTCTCCTTTCAGATCCACCCCCACATCCCTAGCCCCCTCACTTCACGGCCTCTATTTTTTTTTAACATTTTGTTATTTTTATTTTATGTGTATGCGTGTATTGCCTGCATGTAGTAAGTGTACCCGTGGTGTGCAGTGCCGGCAGAGGACAGAAGAGGCTGTCAGATCCCCTGGAACTGGAGTTATGGACAGTTGTTGGCTGCCATGTAGGTGCTGGGATTCGAACCTGGGCCGTCTGCAAGAACAGCCAGTGTTCTTAACCGCTGAGCCATCTATCCAGCCCCGGCCTCTATTATTCTTTTTAGGCCTATCAAACCTAATTTGTGCTCCCAAAATGCTCTTGGGTGTGGGTCCATCCCCCTGGAGCCTGGTCAACCTACCCAGCATCACATCCTTAAAGACAACTGCCTCTCCCTCTCCCTCTCCCAGCAGCTCTCAGTGGTCCACGGTTCCTCAGCTAGGCCTGGGGCTTCTTGCCTTACACCCCCCACACGTTATGCCCCTACCCCGGCTACCAAGCCCTCTATTTGTAAACACTGACTAAAAATACTTCAACTTACATCAAAATAAAACACAGGTAGGTGGTTTGTACCTAGTGCTGACCTGAGTCCCTCCTTTCCCCTGGGTGCCTCAGGGGAAGGCCTCCACGTGCTCGGCTGTAGCCTGACAGGGATGTCCCTCAGGAAGTCCCTGAGGCCCAGAGCTACCTGGATTGCATCTCTCTGGGACTGGGAAACAGCATTAAGGTGCCCGCTGTGCTGTGCCCTGTGCGGCACTGAGGTACCCGCTGTGCTGTGCCCTTGGTTCATAGAGAATGTGGCTTTGGAGTAGCAGAGGGGACACCTCAGTTCTCCACCTTCCTAACCTTGTCTCAGTTCTCAACTGGTTGTTGAAGAAAAGAGGAGTTTTCCAGCGGGCCAGCGTACACTAAGTAGCAGCGATTAAGCCCCAAGTAGATGCAGATTGACTAACAAGAAACCTGGCTGAGCGGTGGCTCAGGGTGCAGCATCTTCCCAGAATAACCAAGGCCCTGGGTTCCATCCCCAAACTGCAAGAAGAAAAAGAGAGAGAGAAATGAAAGAAAAGGAGAGAGTAGCGGGGTACAGGACACACGCCTGCAGTCCCGGCACTGGGGGCTGAGGCAGGAGGAGCCTGAGTGTCAAGGCCAGCCTGAGCTACGCAGTGGGACTCTGTCTCAGAAAAACAAGACAAAACAGAAAGCAGCTGTGTGGCTTTGGGTAAAAACATTCAACATCTGCCATTCACACTGCTGCTGCTGACCATCCGCCCTCTGCTTCTGCTGCGCCTGGCACTGAAGGCCAAACCCAGGCTTCACACGTGCCCTACCACTGGGTTACAGCCCCAACACTTCTGATGTTTTGTAAGCAGAGTTGGGGTTTGTTAGAGGACATTTTAAGCACAAGAGCTAAGAGAGAAAGAGAGAGGGAGGCCCAGAAAGAAAGCAAGATGCACCCGACAGCACAGGTGTGGGCTTCTCAAAGAGGAATCACCGCCCCGACACCCCTTTATGATCACGTTTTTGAAACAGGATCTTGCCAAGTTGCCCAGGCAGGCCTTGAACTTTGAATTCGTCTTCCTCCTGCCTCAGCCTCCCTAGTAACTGGGATCATAATCGCAGGTCTGTGGGCTAGGCCTGCCTCTTCACTCACTTCTGCCTTGGATCTTTCTTCATAAAACCTTTTCTGACTATTCTAATTACCAAACATCAGAAAATGATGACTTCAATACTGGGTATGATGGTGCATACCTGTAATCTCAGTACTGGAGGGGGCATAGGGGAGGACCAAGGTCAAAGCCAGCCTAGGCAACATGGCAAGACTTTCCCTCCAATGAAACGAAAGAGGAAATTCCATACAAAATAATAGCTATAGTGTGATGGTT